TTTTGCAGTATTTTCGCTTTTGACGCTTCTCATAAGCAATCATTTTGCTTTATTTCTTCATTTGTCCGCAAAGGCTTCTTGCGCTCTCTTAAGTTCTCGGTATCCATCCCACACCGCGGGTGTAGTGGTTGATCGCAGCGTTGCGAGGTAGGCAACCTTTTTGAAAACCAATTGCTCTGTATTATGTGGATGAAACTATTAATGAGGAGCTCTAGCTGAAAACAGATCTTCAACTTGAAGTGAGCAGTTACCCAAAACTGCCAGGATTTTGCGAGCCACTTTACAGTGCAGACCTTGTCGTTTCTGGTCTTGCTATTTGTTCCGAGCTATGTCGAAATCACTCACAGAAATACGTCAGAATACATGAGAACAGGGCATCCAAAACCTCATGAATTAGTCTATAGACTTAATGTATGACCAGCGGTCTTCGGAAAAGCAAAGGCAAGAATACCGGAGACCGAAACAAAGAAAAAATTACAATCGCGATTTAATTTCTTGTGTTCTATCAAGTCTTCGTTATAGTGTAATTGTAATATACGTACACTTGTGCATCAGTATGTATTTGTATATTTAAATGTTTGAAGCAATTTTATAATGGCATAAAATGGCAATTATGTATGTGCGCCGCCAGTGTAATGCACTACTTCTCCGTGACTTGCGTGGCTTTATTGAAAAGCCTACGTATATTATTTTGCACTAAAGTAAACGGGTGATCCAAAACGAGGTACTTTTTTCAATAGCCTTCTTTTTACACTTCAGACGACTGATGCGTTTCAAGTTTTCATGCTATTTTTGTTCAGTATTGTTTGGAATTGGTATGTGCTTCGCGCGCTTCGTTCAACTTATGGTCAACATAATCGGCCTACAGAGCGCACTATTCGCTACACCATCACCCATCTCGAGACCCAAGATTCAATATTGAATAATATTCGACGGAATAGACCACGCCCTGCATGCAGGGAAGAAATTATGGCAAATGTAGCTGGGAATGTACTCGAAGCCCGTGGAGAGTCGTTTCGGTAGCAACTTGAACTAACGTATGGAAGGAATTGGCGCATTTTCCGTCGAGATCCTACAACGTACAAAATACAGCTTGTGCAAGATCTGAAACCACTCGATGTTCTCAAGCGGCATGGCTTCGCACTATATACAATACATATAACTGACGCTTTGTAACAGCTGCATCGATTTTCGACCGAGCTTCTCCTCTAATTTGTGGTTCTGCGTCTTGATGTTTTTCCAAAAAATGGAGAGACTTACAGTTTATACTAAGCAGGCTCCGAACGACTGATGGTTTTTTATGAGAAGCCTTTATTTCATGTCAGAAATTCACTCGGAGGGGTTGATATTCCCTGCCGAAGTACAATTTTTATTTAAATTATTTTTCTATAACTTTCGGATGTTGGTCGTACCAGGATTTGCGGCGATGAGCCCCATTTCTAGCTTAATGGTAAACAAGCAAAATTGCCGCTTCTTGTACGAAGAGCAACCTGGAGAGATTCTAGAGCTGCCATTTTATCCAGCAAAGACAACAGTTTGGTGTGGTGAAATCATTGATCCATATTTTTTCAGAACGTAAGCGTTAATTTTGACCGTTATCGCTCCACGATAAACGAATATTTGATACCTCAAATTAAAGCTCGTGATCTCGACGACCACTTCCCACACTTCGCATCAATCAATGGGTTTATTGAGGGTACACTTTGGTGAGCAGACAATTTGACGTTTTAAGCTGGTCGATTGGCCATCAAGATCGTGTGATATTACTTCTTTCGCATTCCCCAGTGGGATAATGTAAAGTCTAAAGTCTATGCGGACAATCAAAGAATATTATTGTGAATGATAATAAACATTCCCCATCAAATAAATTTTTTTTTTTTCTTAAAATAGTAGGTAACCTCTAAATGGATCACCCTTTATATGTAATAATATAAACAAATATGCATAGATAATAGACGCAATTTTCTTACCAAAAACATGGACTGTCCAATAATGGCATAATAATTTTCTAAAAATGGTATAAAAATTGAGAATGAAGCAATAAATGATTGAGTACCTCTCAGTGCATACTTCAGTATGTATCTACGTTAGAGTGCATGAAGCATTGTGTGATTATGGTATTTTAAAATTTATGTATCTCGCAAATTTAAAATATTCAAAAATTTCACAAAACAATGCCTTATTTATTCGTACGACTTAAGTCTCTCTTTAGTCAGCTGACTCGTCACATGACCGTACAGAAAAGTATACAAATGTGTGATTTTTGATTTTTGCACATGACCGCAAATATTTTTATTTTTTTTTTGTGTGTTTTTGATTTTTGCAAACACCTAAAACAGCAAAAAATTTGAAAACTCACTACAAATGGATGCGTCAGCAAGCTCAAACAGCAGCTGAGTTGTCAAGAGAGATTGTTAATGCATTTGTATATCGCCCTCAATTATAATGGTACTACTTTTGACCAAATTTAACTTTAAATAAGAAATAAAATCCAAATTTATACAATCGAATTCATTGACCTCGCGGTAGTCAGCTCAAAACTGTAGCAAAGCAAAATATAAGGAATAAACAAATTTATTAAACGAAAATGTCTACGACTACATATTATATATATATATATATATATACATTTCTTTACAAAAGTATTGAAGTTACTTATACAAAAAGTTATAAATCTGCATTCGGATACAAAATCAGATTGCTTTAAAAACGGACAAATTTTAAGTAGTAATAATTAATTTGAATTGATAATGATGAATGGAGTTACATTTGAAGTAGATCAGTCACGAAAAATGATAACCGTGTAGGAAATATTTAGCTTAATAATCTCTTCACTTTCGCTTTCATATGAAAGTTTCTCAGTACAAATTGTTGATGCAGAGAGTTTGTTTACAGAAATTTTCAGTACCTTGCAACAGAGCAAATATTCTTTTCTAGTTTTAATATTGTAAATCAGTCTTCCAGAGTTGTTGACTTTCACTCGATGCATCAGTAATTCCAACATTATTTCAGCGGCCGCGATAGTCGAGTGGTATGCCAGGTGTTCAAGTCCTGGTTCGATCAACATGCAAACATAAAAATCCATTAATTTAAATAAAAACTGAATTTGATTTTTCTTATTGCCGTTGTCTCTCGACTTATTACAAACCGTACGTCTCTCCATTTGTGGAAAGATGGAAAACCACGAATTGGAGTACGTGCTCGGCGGAAATTCGCTTCAGTGGTTACACAGATCCAAATTTATTTATATACAAAATCTTTCGAAAAACTGAAGTCTACAATACAGAAACCGCCCAATTCCTTTTAGTACCTTAAGGAAAGCAATTTCCAAATGTACATACATACATATCCGTAGCTTGCGGGGGCGAAATGTAAGAAATTGTATACATATTTTATATATTATATAATATAATACAATCTGACCGCCAATCAAATAGGCATACAAAGGGTCAACCTTTAAGCGGTTTTGAAAATAGAGAACAGATTTTGACAATGTCGCCGTTGTCGTTTTCAAAAAAATAATGTCCAATAGCAATTCCGAGCCCAAGAGCTCACCATACAGTAAGTTTGTTTTGCGTGCAATGGCAACTCTACAAGTTCTTGAGTGTTCTCGTAGCGCCAAATGTGATAATTTTTCTAATTTACGTATCGCTTAAGTGGGAAATGTCCCTCGCTGCTGGAAAAAATTTTGTTAAAAAAGTCTCCTTCCGCTGTTTGTTGTGCAATCATCCAATCGACGAACCATCGACGACCATAATCAAAAATCTCAGTTCTTCAGAACGTCGAGCAACCGTCCTAAATATTCGATTCCTCGGCTACAGTCCTTGGAGTAGAGCAATGAAAAGGTTGGTCAACGGACCCTAACATATCTGTAATCGATACAGTCTCTTAGAATTTAAAAATCTCCTCTTAAACCACGAAACGTGGACATGCATGAGTCACTATTTTTGTTGTTGACTTCAACAATTTCAGATCGTTGTGCAGTTGTCCATTTTTATAAATGCCAGACTATTAACTAAAACAAAGCATGTTTGGTTTGAGAGTTAAGCTTGAGAGGCTTCAAAATACAGCGCTGTACTTTTGAGACCACGAAATGATTAACCCCATACATATGTCAGCGTGTACATTAGCTTTAAAAAAAAACTTAACTACACAGCTCGTGTTTTTCCAACATTAAAATGGCGAAGACCAAGGATAGATGGTCGCCCTGTTGCAAACCTTATCTGGTATCGGCCAACTTTTGTTTACACAGCCGCATGAGACTTGCGGAGCCGATAACTAATGCGGTCAATGCTATACTTGATGAGCTGAAAGAGCAAAATTTTGAAGACTGTTTTCAGAAGTGGATCTAAAGACTTGAAAAATGCATTGGAATCAATAACGATTATGTAGAGAAGTTAAAAAAGGCCAAAAATTACGAATAAATGCAAAAATAATTTTTATTTTTGTCTACATACCAAAATTTTGCCAACACCCTCGTATATAACATATATAATTTTTATATAAAAAACATCGCGGTGAATTATGTCATTGTGAGCAGGCTTGCAGATTTGCCCATATGAGCAATTTTCACTTTTTTGCATTGAAATTATATAACGGTCATATTTTAAAGCTTTCTTACATTTAAATAATAAACGCCTTATCTTACGCAATTTCCAATTTCCAATGGACTAAATTTGGTTTCGGCGGCACGTACGAGTTGAACGGTGTCTTAAAGCACGACCATTTTATGCGTGCAAGAAATTACTTGCAACAAACCAATGAAATTGATTGAAGATAGTTTTTATTTATTTATATTGCATTGTATTGAACACTTTCGGGAATAAAGCGCTGAGCGTGTTATAAAGACATGACGGACTGATAAATAGTATGTGCATGCATATGTGGTCAAGGGTATTACATGTAATATGCAAATGACAGTTTTATTGTTTCACAGTTATTTGTATAAAAACAAATTCGCGCCGGATGTAGCCATCATTCGATTAAAAGAATTGAAAAGCCAAATATCGCAAATTTGTCCAATAAAATAGCTAAGCGAATATTGAAAATGTTCAGATCGGTAAGTCACTGAAACTGAAACTGAAATTGAAAGGTGAAATTTTTAGAATTTCTAACAAACTTCTGCTCACTTTTTTCAGCGTGCAACCCTTTTCATCTGCTTCGTGCTTGCTTACACGCACGCTGTTGCTGCCGGTTATCTGGAGCCACCGCATCTTTTCAACTCACCACCAAACGCAGTAGCATTCGCCGCTCCCGTACCGTGTGATTCACCAACGCTCGACGGTTATGGTGCAGCAGCGTTTGCCAAACCGTTGCTGTTTGCCGCTTATCCACCCGCTAATTATGCGCCGTCAGTGCCACAAATCAACTACGCTGCACCGCCTGCTTCATTTGTTAAATATGCAGCACAGCCGCACATCAAAGCCACCGCTGGTTTGCCTGTAACCACCACATTTACGACAGCAGTTGGCTACACAGCACCGCAAGTAGCGTTTGCCTCACAAAATAATCCCGCTGCTTTTGTGGCACCTGCACCCAGTTATGCTGCTCCGGTTTCATATGCTAAACCTCCTGCTTTCCTCGGACCAACGAGCTATGCGGCCCCCACATTGCTAGCAGCGCAACCATTCCTGAGGAAATTTCGTATTCCTTTCTCCACTGGAGGAAACGTATACGCCCAGGCTGCTGCGTGGTAGGAAATTCTCCAATGGGGAGAAGTTAGAAGTTAGTTTAAGTTCCACTCTGTAGTTTTCAAAGAGTCTAATAAATTTGTTATCCTTATATTGCTTTTTCTTTTTTGTTTTATAATATTATTATTTTGCTGCCATGTGAGGCCCTCCTCACCATTACCTACTGACAGCATGGAATAATCGCTCGCACTTCATTGTGCGAAAGTTTACTACATGAATCGTTTAGACACAGTTATATATACTAATGTATGTGTTGATCGCTCTAGACAAAAACTACAGACCTAAAAATCGAAGCGGCTTTACATCGAGATCAGTATTAAATTCTGAGTTAGAATTAAAAAAGTACTATAAAATTCTGGAAGGTTCGGGTTCAAATCCTGGTGTCGTACTGAAATCCAAAAGTTATGGAAAATTCATTTAAATAAAAAAATTTGTTAAATTGGCTAATGCAGTCGGCAGGGAATGTCAACCCCTCCGAGTGTATTTCTGACATGAAGTAAAGGCTGCTCAAAAGAAAACCATCAGCCGCTCGGAGACGGCTTATTATAAACTGTAGGATGGAAGGACCATTCGTTGAAAGTTAAACAAAACGCAAAACCATACATTGGAGGAGGAGATCGGCCGAAAATCACTTAGCCCCAATTAGATATATAATATATATTATATAAGAGGTGTTGAAAGGCGAAAATTATGTATAAGACATTTGACTCGAAGTTTGAAAAGTACTCATAAGGACAAAGAGATCAGGTTTCGGGCTGTTATTAGTAGCTTTAACGGGGTTGGCGCCTTGTTGAGCAAGATATATGCAAGAGAGTGTTGGAGAAAATATAGCGGATGTTGATCATATTTGGCAAAGGTAAGCTGGCAAGCACCACCATTAGCAATTTACTTAAATTTGTTAAGAGTACAACGATGGGTAATAGCAATGAATTCTGTTTTGTTGATCCAATTCTGCAACACATTTTCGATTGTGTGGATCTATGTGGCAGCATTGGCGACCACAATTTCGTGTTCTAAACCATGAATCGTCTCTGGACGGTTGACACAGCATTTATCTTTAACATCTCAACACAAAAATTGGTCCAAAGCAGTTTAATCCCAGCTGCGAGGCAACCATTTGGCATCGCAGTTTTGTATGATGACGCGATTTCCGCACGCCGGGCGCAACATATCGATTGTATGTAATATTTCCTGTGTGGCACATGGTGCCATCCTGTTGAAACCAAACATCGCCCACATTCTCTTTTACATTTGGATGCAAATAATCGCTGAGCTTGATAAAGCAATAAGCAGAAATGATGGTAACGACAGCTCGTTTTTCCTTTTCGAAGAAAGCCGAACCAATGATGCCGCGTGCACACGTGTTGCAACAAACAGCCACTGGTTGTGAATGGTATGGTGGTAAAGTGTGAATTTTACGAGTCACAGATTCTACAGTTGTGCTTGCTAACGATGCCACGGAGGTAAAAATTGTCTCCACTGGAAAAATTGATTTTTCGATAAAAATTCCCATCTTCTACAGTTCTTGAACTAATTGAACTGCATACATAAGCTTTCACACCCAGGTTTTTATGCAAAATCATGTGCACTAAGAGCTATAGCAATAGTGTGTTCCTCTGAATGCACTGAACCAGCTCATGAGTAAGTCATCTCGTTGCATAAATTGATCCACAAACTGCCTGGAAGGCGACATCATTCGAAATTCAAGTGTAATCTTCCTGCAGTTACGCTAGAAAAGTCACCGTTTTGAAACAAAGTTCTATATATCTTCCGGCTTAACAATTTCGTAACTCGCAAACCTTTCCAATAGCATTGCATTTATTAAAATTGAAGTAAGTCGTACTTCAGTAAAAATGCAAAGTGTGGATGACCCATATAATCACAGAAGCAATTTCCGACCGAGCTCATCTTTCAAATTGTGGAGTCCGTCTTGATGTTCTTCCCAGTAATGGAGAGATCTACAGTTAGTTCTTAGTGATCTCCGAACTGATGGATACGTTGCAGCTGAATGATAACTGAGAGAAGAGTGGTTTCGGATTGAAATCTTAATGCACCGAGTTAATGATGAATTCCGATCTGATCTGATTAGCAGAATTTTATATTTTTTGCAAACATTTCAAGTTTGGTTTATTATTGAACTGCGTTTTTTTTTACTGAATTCAACTGTTACAGTGCAAATAATTCACTGGGCAAAGATCAGCAAAAAACGCAAGTAAAAATTGCAAAAGATAAAGCGTTTTTTAATTTGTGTGAATTTTTTAATTAGTTAAAGCTGTCAAAATGAATTTATATTTACAAATCTCATAAAAAAGCGGCAAAAAAACTTTTTACCCAAAAACAATCTACAATGACATTGCCAAGACCGAACGCCATCAACAGATCAATTAGTAGTAAATAAAATCTCAAAACCCACAAAATAAGCAAACGAACATAATTATAAAGTTGTTAAAAGCTTTTGAAAGACAATGCGACTGAATACAGACAATTTGTGTCTGTGATGATGAAGAGAAGTTAATTGGGAGCAAAAAGTGGACAAAAGAAAGAAGAAGAAAAACGCTGGAAAAAAGAGTAGTAAAAACGATAATGCAATAACCAACAACAAAATTTCATTGTGGGAAATATGATGAAGAAAAAAAGTGACGGTGCATACCTATAAATTAGAGCTAAAAAAGATTATAAAACTTTGAATTTTTTATCACAGTAAAATTATACAATTTCAAGTTTCTATTGAAGTTAGGAGACTTTTCTAAACTCCGAATGTATCATTCTTCGCTCTCGGCGTAGGCACGATCAGCGTTGCTGGTTCTGTCGTTGTCTTTATATATTTTAATTATATTTTATTTCCAAGTTTCTACTAATAAAGTGAGAAGCTACGACCAACATCCGAAATTTATTGAAAATTAATTTAAATAAAAAGTTTAATTTTCTAATTTCGGTCGCCCCTCGGCAAGGAATGTTAACGCTCTGGGCGTAATTCTGACATGAAATAAAGACTCCTCATAAAGAACCATTAGCCGTTGGAAGGCGGCTCAGAATTATTTGTTGGAAAGCATCAAGCCGTAAAACCACAAATCAATATAATTTTGGGTTGTGTCGACTTGTTATTATTTTTCTTCAGTATCCTTTGGCATTTCAACATGGAAAGACTTGCGCTTGAACAATGCTTACAAATCATTCACGTTCTGTAAAGAGTGTACTTCGAGCGATTCGTTCAACATGCAGTAAAACAATAAAGCGGACGTAGCTGAAAGTGTACGCGGTGGCCATGGAGAGTCGATTCGGCGTCATAGTTGATTCGCAGCAACTAAACGTACAAAATATAGCTTTTGCAAGACCTGAAGCCGCTCGACGTCGACATCGCTTCGCTCTATGAACTATTGTAAGGTTCCAAGAAGATCCAACGTTTTCCAACCAAATTTTGTTCGACGAGGCCCATTTCTGGTTCAATGGGAGGAAGAGCAATCTGAAGAGATTCCAAAGCAACGATTTTTTTGTGGTTTGTGGGCCAGTGGAATCAACTGTCAATGTTGACTGTTAGCGCGCCATTATAACATATTATTTGATGCCTGCGATTGAAGCTTGTGAGCTCGCCGAAATTTGTTTTCGACAAGACTCATTGCATCAATCAATGGAGTTTATTGAGAGAACACTTTGGTATGCAGCTAATTTCAGGTTTTAGGCCGGTTGACCACCAAGATCATGTGTTGGTCCTCTGAGATGTAGCCGCAGCCGTCATTCGTCGCTTCAAAAAATATATGTCAAAGTATTTTCCTTGCAATTGACATGACATAATCAACCAATGTCGCCATTAGTTTCAAACTGCTGATCAACTACGATATTCGCCGCGGCCTATACGACAAGGAGCATAAATCTTTTGCTAAACTTTTCTGTCGAAGACTGCTACCAGTCATGCGTACACGGTAGTGATAAACGAATTGCACAGTTTGGGTTTTGGTTGCCGATTGTTTGATCAACATCAACATCAACATGAGTAGTGTTCTTTCAATAAAATCAATATATTCTGAAGGTCAATTACTACACCTCTTACATCCCTCCGACAGGAAAGGCTCCTTCAGCATATTTTCATAAAAATTTCAAGAATTTCCTCTGTTGGGCATATTCAGAAACATTTCAGCTTTTTTATGTTTTCTCAACTAATCCGTCTTGCTACCTGCTGTAACTAGAACAGTCCGCATTGCGGTCGAACGTCAGGTAGATAGATTTTTTTTAATCTAATATTCGTTATATACGCTCATTTTCGTCTTGTCGAAACCAAAAACTCTCCAGTTGCAGTACACAGAGACAATAAGTCTGATTTGGTTACGTAATTTTCAATCCATAAAAATCCAAGGAATTTAATGTATTTCACCATTAGCCCTGCGAAATTGATGATGTGAGAAGTTTAGCGCTTATTGAATAAATTCTTCCGCCGTCTTTCTCATTCGTCTTTACTGGGCCGCATTTTAGCGATTTGCTAAAATCCACTCTTTGATGAATGGTTTTTGGTTAGACGTTCGTGGACCGCGGTGAATGATAGTATTTACTCTGAGTCCCTCTCCCATCGCATTTGCGTTCCCTCATAAATAGAGTATGTACCATTCATGTTCATGAAATATACAAATTTACACCAACAAATAGCTGCCTATGAATATGAAATTGCGTTCGTCACTGGCCACTTGTGACTTTTTCGAAGCGTTTGTAGACAAACACTCGTAGATGGCTACTAAGTTAGTAAGACACTTCTCCACATTCTCTTCACCGGTCATCTGACTGTCAGAGTATAATTGATTGCAACTTGTCTGTGGCAATTATGCATAGTTTGGAAATTTAGCTGTCACTTCAATAAGTTGAGTTGTTCCCCTGTTCGTGTTTCTCTGCATAATTTACTCTGCAATATTATTCAGCCTCTTCACAACAAAAAGCCGGCATAATAGAAACAACAACAGCGTTTACGTGTTGCAGCACGGGATTTCGAACGGAGTGAATCGATTTGTAGACGCCACTTT